GTTTTATGACCTGGCTGCAGATGGCCAGGCTACCCCAGTGTCTCCTTGATTTAAATGTGGCCTCTCTGTGCTGCTTTGGCTGTGCTCACACTGGGTCGACTCCCCCACGTGTATATGCCATCTGTTTGGTATGCGAGCTCAAAAAGGGTAATGGCGTGTCTGGGTGCGCTCCTTAGAGTTCTGGCGAAAAGTTACTTTTGTCTGGGTATTCTACAGATGTAATTTGGTGTCCATAAGGCACTGCGAGGTTATCACACGCTGAAGATAACATCAAGACCATCCCACGCTCTGATTTTTTTTAAATTGAAATATGACTTTTTCAGACTTACATAAAAATGTAAGGAAATCTGGAAAACACCATGTTTTTTAAAACGATGCTCCGGAAACATTGCTGAATTTGATATTCAGTCAGGAGTTTCCAACAGACATTGCTTGTACCATAAACTTTCACAGTGAATCTGCCACTGTGATCGAGGACGCTTTAAATCAGATTTAAACCTTGTCATTCCGGGGTAAGTGTGCTAATATTTTCACTCAGTCTCTGGGACAGCTGTTAAAACATTCTGGCTCTGTGGGCCAAATGGGACGTCTAAAACGCATGAGTTCTGTGTTCTAATTCTCAGTGTTGGCTTTTCTAATTAGAAAACAGACATTGGTTTCTGTAGAGATGAATGTCAAGGTGTACTGATCCCCACATCTTTCAGAACCATACATTGTGAACTTCCTCCAGATTTTAGTATTAAATATTTCAAGGTTTTTTATTCTGTATTTCCAGTTTGCCCAGCTGTGATGTGTCAGTCCTCAATTCTCTCCCTCCACGGGTTTCAGATTTAAGTTTTTTTCATGCTTGTTTTACAAACTAGCTTCCTCAGTACCTTCTCATAAGCTCTCTTAATACACCAAGGTAAGAACTTATCTTCTTTGTAGTGCCCCTCTCCCTAAGGCGGTCTATCAGGGAGGATTTTACCGCATTTTTCTCAGCTTTGCCAACCAGCATAGATATGACGGCCTAGGCACGCTCCGCGCAGGGAACCTCAAAGTGCTGGGAAGTGTGCTGCCTGACTCCAGAATTTCCCGTGTGCTCGTGCATCCATCAATTTGATGGCTACTGAAGCCACTTGTCCTTTCTTTCTAAGGTCCTTTCAAGACTCTACAATGGGCTGCACTTTTTTTTATGTGACAAGTTTGACTTCTCAGGTGAAACGCTGTAGGACTGGTCAGAAAAATTTCTCTTTGGGGCCAGGGCTCAAATGAATGGGGTGCATTATAACATTCCGTGAGAAAATAAATTGATAAAATTTGGTAGCAAATATGTGTAATGGTAGATACCACAGGTTCTCTTCCATTGCAGTTGTAGTTCAATAAAATAAAAATATTCAGGAGCAATTAAACTCAAAATTGTGAACATGAGAACAAAGAATGTAGCCAGATATATTCGTTAATTTAGAAATAAAATTTAGTAACATTACTTTTGTTTTGACTAGTACAAACTAAGTTAGCCATCCATATCTCTGAAAAATCTTACACGTCCTACTTTTAGTAAGAACTCAAAGAAAACGTTTGATCAGGTATTATCAGTGTTTGTAATACAAGTATCACACATGTTTGATCAGATTTATTACTGTATTTTAGTCAACATGATAGGTAGCACAAATACAAAACCACAGTCACGTTTACAAAGGTAAACATTGTACAATAGCTCTGTATACTAAAATATTACCAATAATGCAGTTTTTGAGAATCAAAATATCAGCTGGCTGATTCGGCTTTAATGGTTCCTAGTAATGTCTTGTTCTAGGATGATAATGCCACTAAAAACAGGTCATTCCCAGTATGCATTACCACTTGGCAAATTCATTCTAATGGCAGGAAGGGGGAATTTAGTCCAAAGAGCAATGATTCATTCTGATGAGCTGTTTGATCATAAAACATGCAGTGGTGAGCTTTCAATTCATCAACTATTTCTACCGTTCAGCAAAGATTATTGTTGTAGTTGGCATAATCAGAGAGCTCTTTGCACTCAATTCAAGCGCTTCGTACCATGAGATCGGCTATGGCAGGCAAGAGGTCCAGTGACTGCCAGTCCATTCCTGAGCGGCTGCCTTGATTAAGCTCAGCACAAACATCACACACTTCTCAGAAACGTGCCTGGACAGAGCCCCTGCCGCCTTCCTCACTAGCTGACCAGACACGGGTCGTCACTGCTCGGCTTCACCTCTCCGTCCAGCAGCAGGTTCATCACCACCTTCATCAGGTAGCTGCATGTTCCTCTCTGTCCCAGGGGGGCAGTGTTGTAAAAGGAAGTCATGTCGTCCTGAGAAGGAAAACGGTAAGCAAGGCGTTGGGTTTGGGGGTTGTAAAGAGTAGACAGGTAAAATCGGTGTCAGCCTAAGGGGGGAAATACATTCACAGAAAGATTTCCTCGTGGAAAATACAAGCTTGTCAGACTTTGCTTTCATTTTCCTGAGGTGTCGTCTCAGCATATAAAACAAAGACATTTTGGGTATTCTCCTCGTTGCGCGTAAGCTTTATTTACTCAGGGAACCTCTTTGCGGATGAAATAAAATATGACACAGAGAGCCCAGAAGAGACGGTGTGAGGCCATGGCACCCATGGCGCCCGTTCCACACCCCCGCCTGCCCCAGAATGTAATGTGATGCCTTTGGACTCGGCGGCTCCTCTCCGGTAAAACACATCCTAACTGCTAACTATATAAAGGAAATTTATCTCTTCCTAGATGGCTTTCTAGTCAGAACTTCATAGTTGAATGGACTCATAATTAACTAAAAAGTAACATTAATTCCTCAAGTCAGTCAGACTCCCCCCCCGCCCCCCAGCCCCCGCCAAGTACTGGATTTTGCATCCCGTAAATCGGTTTTATAAGTTAAATGATAAGAGATTAGGGATATTTTGAAGAGTTGAGACAATGAAAAATATCTACAAAAAACTACTTTCTGTACTTACTTGTTTTTCAGCTTCCTTTTGTTGACTCTCATCTTTTTGAAATTCACAAAATGCTGCTTTCACCAGTTTGTCTAGATCGACTTTGTCTTGAAATTCTAGCTCAGGGTTTCTTTCCAGTATGATGGATACGACCATTAGTAACTAGAAGAGACAGACATTGAAAGCCAATTAAATGAAGCATGAAAGTGACACAGTCTGGTCATGTTTTCATTCTTTCCCAGACTGATGGGTGCCCCTCACATTCCAGTGTGTTCTGCATGGGTCCTCTACGGGTGGACCCTTCCAGCCTTGCAGGTGAGTAGCATACGTTCATTCTGGAAGCCGTGCATTTCTGTTTTCATTGTGTACCTCCCTGTGGCTGTACAGAAATGCTTTCACGTCACTGAAATAAAACTAGTAACTTAGAAACATGCCTTTCCGAATCCTGTCTGTAGTGTAGCACCCTATTCACCCAGCTCGCCTTTGGGTGTCCATTAATCCATGTTCGCAAGACATCAGAACCAGTGTCCAGTGGAGCAGAGGCTGCCCTAGACGGTGACAGGCAACCAGGCCAGAGCGGACAGGTGAGTTCAGAGGAGACTCTGGATCTAGGCTCACGATCGCATGACTTGGAGCCCAGCACCCCAAAATGAGTATAAACCTGACCTCACAAAAGTTTCTTGGGGGATTATTATGCTTTTAAAAATACACTTCACTTTAGGAAATGAACACTATTTAGTCTATATAAACTGTCCTAGTTTAATGCAGCACCCTATTGTTTGACTATCCCATGCATTTACCTTAAGTAGTGATATTCATTTTGGATGACAAATTGTTACACACCAAGATTGTATCTGAGTATATAATGCTTGGTAAAGTCTTTCTGATCATGGTTATTGCTCCTACTTTGTGCATGAAACAGGAAAAAGACCTCGCAATTCCCAATTTGGGAGTCTTCCTGACTGTACTTCACTGAAATGTCTCCAAAACAGAACCTGAAAGAACCACAGGGAACATTTGCAGGAAAACCCAGGGGTCACAATGTGGGGGACCCCAGGCGTCAGCCAGGAGAATGCAAACTTCCACTGTGGCTCCAAAGGACAATTTCTTCTGCAAAGGGAATGATCTCACTTTGGACAATAAGAAGACCCTCGATGGCCACTGCAGGTCCCAGCTGCCGGGCACCGGGCATCGAATTGCTAACGGACGGAGAAGGCATTCACCCTTCTAAGAACGCCATCTTTTCCTGATCCCAGGCTCTGCCTCACTCCCACAGGCTATGAAACAGATCGGCTGATACTGTGTCTAAATCCTGGCCCAGCAGAGAGAAGGCTGACTCTCTCTTGGCAATGACCGTACCTCCAGACACGATGGATTTGGGGAGGGGCCACCTCCAGTTCAGTGCTCAGAGAGCTCGTGTATTGAGGAGCATGTTACCCAGAATCTGATGGAGACGTTCCCAGAGAAAGAGACAAAGTGAAGATGAGCTATGTGCTAAATCCATCCATTTGGAGGACTCTGTGGATTTGGTAAAAATGTATGAAAAAGGCCAAAGAGCACCTGGACACACGTGCGTGCACAGGTGTGTGTATCTTAGCATTTAATTTATATAATGCTGTGATGATACAGCACATTATATGTCTTCTCTCTTCACAGGGAGAGGTTTGGAAAGGTTTCCCCAAAATACCAAGTGACGATCTCCTGCTAGTAGGTGTGGGGAAACTTTTTCTGCTTTCTTTTCTGTAATTTTCTGAACTATGGAAGCTTTCTACAATAGTCATGCCTTATTTCTGTAACGGAATACTGAAACTAAAACACACAGACAAAGTGACTTCCTCTCTTTGATGGTGTTGCTCATGCATTTACTGTGGAGGGCGAGCGTGTAGCTGAAAAAGTTGGAAGTCACTCTCCATCCTGAAGGATTTCAGATGTCAACATTGCTCATGTGCCTTGACGTGGGTCATGAGTGGCCGTCCCTTCAGGACTCGCGTGGAGGAGATCGGGGTTAGTGAGGAGAGTCGTTTCAGGTCTGCTGGGCGGTTGCTCTGACCCCCGTTTTCAGTGGGCAGAGAGGGCACTTTGCAGGCAGCCCACGTGCCTGACACGCACCTCCACGATGATCTGTCTGTACTTGGGCTGGTCGATGTTCCCCAGCATGTCTTCCACAAGGAGGGAGAAATTCATCTCATACATGGTCATGTCGGACAGGGTTGGTTGCTGAAAAAGAAAACATTACCATGCCGCATTATTCTACTCCGGGTCCCACTTATTGGAGGGGTTTCAGTTTATAATCAATAATCTTTCTCAGTTTTTATGAAACCTTAGACAGCAGTTTCAGCTCTATGACTGGATTTTATACATGTCAAACTACTGAAGCCAACCAGCTGACTATTGTGATAAATGAAACCTCCTTTTTTTAGTAGTTTTCTTCACTATATTAATGATTTTAGGGGGAAGAGGCTATATTAGAAAGCCACTTCAATACACAAAAGGGACAGCAAAAACTGAGACAATAAGTAGAGTACATATTGCTTTTAGAATTAACACAAGAAGTTATGCTTGCTGTCCGACCTCAGCTTGTAAGTTACTTGCTGTTGAATTTACCTCATTTCTGTGGCAGGTCCTTTCTGGGCTGGCAGCATGAAAGTGCATACAAATAAGCAAGAACAACATGATGTACAGAAAAGGTAAGCAAACCAAGAAAAGAGCAAAACTAAAAGAATGTTCTCCATGCTACCCTTTATATTTCACTTAAACCAAGAGTATCGCATAGTCTCCCATTCGCTTGTCACAAAGCAAATGAGAGCAGAACCTAAACTCAGATCCAAATCTAAATCTGGGCCTGTGGGGAACCCTCAAAGGATGGAAGGGGAGGCTCTAAATATTAGGCCTGAAAGTCACCAGAATCACTACCAGAGATGACGCGCCAGACGTACTTGCTTTTACCTCAGTGATTTACAGTGAACATCATCATGGCCTCAAACCAATGCGTTCTCTACTTACTACCCCAAATGGGACAGAGCAGGAATGTCTTCTTTTACTCTAACGACAGCTGTTCTGCCTGGTATAATGATGCCTCAGACCTGTATTCAAGGCGGTCCAACTACTGTCTCCTATAGTCAATACAACCCAACACGTTGGTAATGTTTCCAGCTGGTCCCTAATTGGAGGAAAGTAAATCCGGGCCTCTGAACACAGTACTTATCACTGGTTAGATGTCTAGCAATGGGGTTCATGGGGTTACAGACGGGAAGGAAGACCCTTTCATGATTTCACATCAGTTTCCTTGTAATATATCTCATTTGAAAAGCCACCCTCGTTACGATGCAGCTATGGTAACTAAACCTGGAGAAGGGGATCACGCTGGCCGATATTCCCATCTCTGAAAGGACTTACGGGAGGCAGTGCAGCAGAGGAGTTAAGAGAAAGGCTCCGAAGTCACACTGCCAAGGGGGCAGTCTGGGCTCACTGGTGCCTGGATGTGTGACCTTGGGGCGATGCCTTAGCTGTGCTCCGGCTTCCTTACCTGTCAAACAGGAAGGGCAGAGCACCTGCCTCAAAAGATGGCTGTCAGGGTCAAAGGAGCACTTAGAAAGTGCCTGGCACAGAAATGCTTAACACAGATTTGTCGCTGCTGTCAGCTTAGAGAAGACAGGAAAGGCAGGCAGCCCAAGTGGTTAGACAATCCCATGAACACCAGGCAGGTATTAGCGGGGGCCGGGAAGGAAGGGGCCACGGCGGGGGTATGCAGATGGCCGCCTGGCCGGAGAAGCAGCACCTGGGCGGTGGTGGCCTGTCCTCTGCTCACGGGAGGTCACAGGGCTTCAACCAAACAAAACCACTCCACAGTTTGTGAGCGGGATAGGGAGTACTTTGTCATTTTTGATTCAATTTTTTTAACAAGTAATAGAATCACATAGCTCAAAACTTGAAAAGTTACAGAGGGTTCTCAGTGAAAAACCCACCCTGTTCCCCCAGACCAGTTTCTTTTCCAAAAGGCAAAGAAAAAAATGCTGCCAATTGCTTGTGGGCCCTTCCAGAAACACTCCATGTGCATAGAAACAAAATGAGTATGGGTATGAGTGTTTAAGAATACTTGATTTGTATAAAGACATGCATCAAAAATGATTTGGTTGGCATTTCAGCACTAGAAACAAATACAGTGCCCCATCTACAAAAGGCCTCATTATTCACATTTGTGCATAAGCAGAATGATTTAGACATCAGGATTCAGGAAAACATAATCACATCCAAGAAGCAGGCCAGTTTCCGTACCGTGGGAAGCCAGCTGAAGGAGGGGCCCTGATTCATGTGGACCAAAGGAAAGTTACATCTCAAGTGAAGTAAGTGCTTGTCTAATGACCTAAAAAGTGACTGCATTTTTCACGGTCGATGAAATTTGTAAATAGTAACCTCCTTATCCACAGCATTTACTCAGTCACCTTGCTTCTGAGGCCTGATCGGGTTCTTTTGAGTGGATGTTTCACTGTGTGTGAGACCCCCTCACTGGCCCACCAGCACTGGGTGGGGAAGCAACACCGCCATTCAGAGTAACACCAGTAGAACCCCCGAATTCACTAGTCAGTAAACAAAGGGAGGACAGCTCGCTGGGCAAAAGGTTTGCCCGTGTGGCTCCTTCACACAGAGCTTCCTCGAAGCATCTGAAGTAGGGTAATTAAAATTTTTGATTAAATACAAATTTTAAGCAAAACTTCCATTTGGTAAAGCAAGGCTTTCGTGTAGAGGGACACTGAAATTGAAAAGTAAACATGACTCAGATTGGGAATAAATATTTCCAATCCAGCTGATTATTTCTTAGCATTTCCTCTCTTCAGGGATCCGGATACCCCTCCTTGCAATACTCTTAGGAAATGAATACGCCGCCAGGTTACTTGCAATCCGGAGGGGGGAAGAGTTCTCTGCTCCTTCAGGTGGCTTTAGAAGTCGCTTTCACCGGTATGAACAGGTGGGACTGTACCTGTGGCAAGTGCTTCCCCGCCACAATGATGCCATTGGGCGTGCGCTCCAGGATCTGCCACACGCGGTCATAGAACCCGGCGGGGGTTCTATTCAGAGACCCGTTGATCTGACGCCTGTTCAGCCAGCATCTGCAGACCAAGAGAAAACGCCTCAGAGCTGAGAAGCAAGCGTGTTCTGGTAGAAAGCAGGGATTTCAACATGGATTAATTGTTCCAACAGGGCGAGCAGTAAAAGCTCAAATCCATCAATGATGCCTATTCCACCATGTGTTAGAGATTACTAAATATTTCACAGTGAAAACAGAGCTTGCAGAAAATGAGAAAATCGCCCAGATTAAAAAAAAAAATTTAACAGGCAAAATGTATTGTCTAGTAAGTTACAAAGTTAAAAATCTCACTGTATAATCAAATGACTTTAATACGCAAAGCAGCTCCATTTATTGTAAAAACTCAGGAGCAGCCTAAGTAATTTATATTACAGCTTTTTCTGTAATAAAAAACAGTTCTTCAATTCAATGCAATCCACAAGTATTTGTTTTGCCCTTATTCAAACTTTGGCAAAAGTTAAGTCTATGAAAGGGATTAGCCCTGAAGAAGTTTACAGTCTACTTAGGGAGACAGAGTAATGGAGAACACACGTAAATAACATTACTAAACCAAAACCTTTACGCCAAAATGTTGGGAGGAGGTGGTGAGTGCCACAAAGGTTCAGTGAGGGAACTGATTAAAGTGGTACGAAGTATTACGTTCTGACCAGAATAATAAAAATTAAGAAACACAAACCACACTTGAAAATGTATAAAATTCCAATCAATACAAAATCACAACTGAAGACCGATGTTTTCATTAGCATCTCTGTGCACACCGCCACCTGGCAGAGTGGACTCACAGGCGCTGCTGCATTTTATTTCTTATTAACATCCTATCTCCTTTATGTAGCAACGTGACGGCGTTACGGCGACCCCAGAGTGTCCTGGAGGCAGCAAAGGCCCTCCTTACCTCCCATTCTGTTGCGGCTGGAGAATGTCCAACAGAAGCTGTTTGACTTCACTGGGTGACAGCTGATATAAGTCTGCAGCGGGCTTGTCCCCGCCGCGGGTCTGTAGTTCATACTCCATGGCGTGGATGACCCACCTGCAGTGAGATGGGAAGCGCGAGTCAGCGACTCCCAATATAAAACCCCCTGTGCTGCTCACCGCAAGGCCCGTAACAGCATCGACCCGTGGGGGAGGGACGGAAGAACAGGCCACTGGGACTTCCTGAACCGCTCATCTAATGACGCCCGTAAAGACTGTGTGACATGATCGGACTCTTAAAAATGAGACCTGCTCTTACATATGCAGGTTAGAGAGTAAACATGAGAAGGGGCTTAGAACCTCGGTTCTTGCCAAATGAGGGTCTACCAATTTGGTGTGAGAGTATATACTGTACACAAATAGCGACCACATGACTACTGGCTTAATACTATCGGATTGTCGGAAAAGTCATGACGTATTTTTTCTATGTTTTTCATTGCAAAAATGCGTCATGACTTTTCCGACAACCCAATAGATACACGCAAAAACAGCAGGGATAAAAAGGATTCATTGTCAGAAAAGGGCTGATACGTGCTGGTATATAGACGTTCCTTTTCTAGGAAGGGAAAGCGCTTGTCACCTGTTTCCTTTGCTTTGCAGTCATTCTCCATGATTGCAGAGACAGAGAAGGACCTACTTCTGAAATACGGGGACATAGCTCAACTTATACTTGTATATTAGAGGATATGCTTTACCCTGTAGATTTCAGAAGACTCTTCTTTATAGAATTTAAATGCCATTCGTGTGCCTATTCTTAAAGAATCTGTTCTTCAACAGGTATTTAAATGCTGTTCATAAAATAATTCTTTACTACAGAAAGAGCTTCAATATAATCATTTAGGCAAGCATTTATGGAGCACTATTTGTGTGTCTGGTATGTTCCAAGGTGGTATAATTGTATGCCTAGAAATGCCTAAAATATTTAATTATTTTATGTGTAATTTTATTTTTTAATCTGAGAAGCTTTTAATAAGTATTTTTATAGTTTCGTCTCATTTCTTTCACTTACCCTATTCCGAGGAAAGAACTCAGATAAATGACTTACGCAAATCAAAGAAAACTCTGGAAATAATACAGTGTCTTAGGGAACCAGAACTACACACCATTAGGAAAAGCTGGGGAATTAGTTTTACCCAGCAGATTCCTGGGCTATATCCCTAAATCCTTCCATGAACACTGAATAACAGAGTGCAGCTCAGCATCTGAGAGAATGTGCTTCATTCACCCAAGCTGCTTTGCCTCCAGGAGGGAGGCTGTGGAGAGGAGCCCACGGGGAGAGGCGTCCAGCGACAGCAACGAGGAGTTCAAGTGGCCAAATTACCACCCAAATACATCAGCACCTTCCTCTTGACACACTTCTTTGAAAGACAACCCACAAGGCTATTACTGCAGGTCCAGAGATGAAAAAATGGGGTGGAAATAATCAAAAGATGCAAGTCCCTCTTTCTGCCAAGGCTGGTTTGCAAAACAGCAGTGATGCACCCTCACAGGGTGGCTTTCAGGTCTCTCCGTGGGAAAGATGGTAAGAAACGCATTATGCTTTCCCCAGAAGTGACATCCAGCAGGCATTATCTCCCGGCCTGCTCTGTGCCTGGTCCGGTCTCACTACCCTCTGCTCAGGCAGCTCTCAGCCCTTTCTCCCGCTTTCTCCCCTATTCTTTGTTGTTGCCATCCCTGGAAGTTAGGACCTTACCTAGCCCACCAGTCAAATGCAGAATATGGGCTGTGAAACACTGAGCTAGATTATAGACAGGAGAGATACACAAAGACAGAGCATAATTAAAAAAAAATTTATACACACACACACACACACACACATATAGTTACTATCACCGTTGATAGCACACAATACATATTTAATAGTCGCTCAGCGTAAGGACAATAAAGATGACAAAGTATTTGCAAATAACAAATGGGAGATTCCTGATATGAGCACGAGAGGAGGTGGACAGAGTGAAGACTTACCATCTGCACTTCTCTAACCAGTTGCAAAGTAGAATAAACTTACGTTATTGCCAAAGACTGGAATTGCTTTAGTTGTTCATCCTCATTATTATTTACTATATTTCCTCAAAATGTTCTACAAGCATACAAGTCACACAATATCGCTGCTTTGATGTTCAAGTTCTTACGACATTAGTTGTTACAGCACATTTCACTTCCAACAAACTGCTCCCTAGACCTCTCTTTAAATAAACTCTATTTTTAATTTTACAGATTAGAGTTGTCTTCCATTTATTATTTTCTTTGTTTAACATGAAAAGTTTACATTTGTGGCAGCTTAGTCTAATAGAAAGAGCATCAAATTAAAAATCTAAAAACCTGCCTTTTGGTCCCCTCAACAAGCCAATGGCATGAAAAGTGTGTGTGTGGGGGGAGTTACTGTTTTAGATGAAAAGTAACTCAAGAGATAGAACTAATGCCATGTGTGGGCCTTGTTTGTGATCCTGATTTCTTTTTTTAAGTAACTTTGGGGACAACCAGAGAAATCTGAGTAAGAATTGGGCATTAGGTGATATTAAGGAATTATTACTAATTTTATTGAGTGTGATTATAGTATTGTCATTATTAAGAAAATGTCCTTTTTCCGAGATATATACTTACTAAAACATTGAGGGGTAAAAGTCAAAATGTCTGGGATTTGCCTTAAAATATACTACAGAAAAAAAAGATGAAGCGAATATGGCAAATGAAAATTACTAACAATTGCTTATACCATTTAAATAATGGACATTTGTGAATTTGACAAATTATTACTAACTATTTTAACATTTTCATAATGCAAAGCAAAAACAATAAAGACCTACTTGAATGCCACTTGTGTAACCTCCCAACTGTGCCCCACTGGCAAGTTATTTTTCAAATGAGAATATTATTATTATCTGTTCAGCTTATTTTATGGAATTATTTTCAGGGATAAATAAGACAATGTATGTTAAGAGAGTCATAAAAATGTTGGCAAGCCCCTTTTAATTGACATTTCAGACTCAGGATGAAAGAAGGTAATCCAATTTTTTAATTCAAGTCTTGGTGTTAATTAAGTGCTTGCTACTCCAATTAACTTCAGGAGGGATCCTCTTCTAATATAGATTTTAAAATGATTTTTAAAGTCTTCCAAAATTTTGAGTTATTAAAACTAAACATAGTCTCTCACATTTACCTTTTAAAATCTTCACACCATAAACAAAAATTGCTAGAGATCTAAAAATTCCCCCTCAGGCTTCTTCCTTCTGTTCACAAAATTTCAGCCATTCTGCGAGCAAATTATAGAAAACATTGTACTCAACAGCCACCAAAGAAAGAAGGTGACTGGTTTTCATTCATTTGAGCATAAATGAATATAGCTTATCTGTCAGGTGTGAAATACATTTATTCATTGAAAAATATTGGCCAAGCTAATCTTTCCGGCATAGAATTCTTCCAGAGATGAAAATAAAAACAGCAAAATAGCCTTAGACGTGAACCTCTCTATAGCAGTCGAGACTTAGAAAATCACTAACTGAGTAACAAGAAAAGCAAATACTTTTTATCTTTTTTTTTTTTGCAAATATTTTTAGAACTAGTGATACAAAAGGGCATTCATTCCTTTGCATGGCAAAAATCTGCCTTCTCACCCTCATTCCCGTTGATAGTCACCAAACCTGACTTGACAATTCCAATGTAAAAGCACTTAATACAAAATGGGGAAAGAAAGAAAGCAAGTGAATGCGGAAGGTCAAAAGAAGGAAAGTCATGCTTGGGCCAGACCCTTATAAATTCAGTCTGTCTAAAGAACCAGGGATATGCTCTACTTGCCAATAAGCACATGAGAAAGTGGCAGATACACACGACTGACCAGATCAACCTTCATACATATCAAGGTTTGACTTGAGGACAATGAATTCCTTAGCATTTTGGGAACATGTGAAGAGATGGACTCATTTCTGTGTAGTCCTGGGAATAAGCTTATCCTTCTAGAAAACATTCTTGTTGGGAGGTTAGTAAGCACATTGTGTATGGATTGGTGTTTTTCTTTGCAACATGCCCCAATCAAGGAGGGAAATATAAAGAACATGGAAATCTGACATCACTGGTAAACCAGAACGGCTGACATTTTATGAAAAAGAAAAAAAGCCATAAAGAGTAGCACTGATCCATAGCAAGAAACAATTTTTAAATAATCATTCTGAGGCTGCTTCAAAACACTGGGAAGCATTTGCCGAGTTTGCTACTGCACAAGCGAATAAGCGACTCTGAGCAGGCATTTCCCTAAGCCATGGAATAAATAGGGGATGGGATACATATCAACACAGAGAGGGGGCAATCTTGTTCCGGCAAACTGGGCTTCCTTTGGCCACTTGGGGACCAGCCTTCCCTTCCACCCCCATCTAATCCTAAGAGAACAGAGGTAGGCGAGCGCCATCACCTCTCCCTTCCTTACCGCCTACCAGATGTCAAAAGCAAAGACCTTTGAAGAACACCAAACCATGCTAAGGAACTCAGAGAGGCAACGCTCCTCCCACCTCTGCTGCACAGGCAGTGTCACATGGCCATGTGACATCGAGGCACCATGACCTTCCCTAAGCCTTGGCGACGTGATCCACAGATGCAGCTGTGGGCCTCAGAAGACAAGACATGCCTGCATCATCACTGCTCACAGAGGATGCGCTGGCAGCATGAAAACGGAGATGAAAAAGGCCTGATACCATATATCCTCAGGGGCGATCTCCTGCAAAAGCCTGACTGACAGACCTAGAGTAGAGAGTGCTTGATTGGAGGTCTTTACAGTAATGAGCCTGTCAGGAACTTGATCTATTTCAACATAAAAGCCAGAACACAAATCAATAATAAGACAGCAAATCAAATCGTTATCAGACTAGACTAGCACTCCTGTGAGCAGGTTAATTTTGTTCACTCGAGTGCCTGAGCAGTCAAGTTGAAGATTCACCTCGGAAGAAAGAAACAAGAAACATGGCGGTATTGGCTTAAAGCAATTGGGGTTGTGGGTGATGTAAATAAATTAAAAAACTCAAAACCTGAGAGAGAGAAAGAGAGGGTTAAACCAGAGAGAGAAAAGCA